ATATTTTGATATTTTAAATATTAACATATTTTAATTTTTTATTTATTATTTAACAAAAAATTTGTAATAATTAATTATTTAAAAATAATTATAAACTAATAAAATTTTATAAGAAAAAATTAATAAACTTAACAAAATTAGTAACTATAACCTCATCCGTTTCTAAGCTCAAAGCAATAATCAGAGAGGTCAAGAACAGGGTTATAATAGTCTAATAGTGATATATGGATAAATTTTTGTATAATTTTTTTATATAAATTTTATATATTATTAAATAGATATATGCACTTAATATTATAAGTTATAAATAAATTTAAAAAATTAATTATTTAACTAATATATAAAATTATATTAAAAAATAATATAAAAAATTATTTCTAAATCATTTTTCATAATAATCACCCTTTCTAAATTGCCAACTTGGTGGTTTGAGTTTAATGTATGATAAAAAAAATTGCCATCTGAATGCCATGTAAGCTTTGAACCCCACCACGGGAGCCATCTCTCCGTTAGGATTTAACACTTTGTTGCCACCAGCTGTTGGATAACGGCTGATTTGCTACCAAAAGCAGAGTAGAGGGACTGATCTGCGTATACTTTTAGTTGAGGGACTGATTTGCTATCATTGGACGAGTACAGGGGCCAAGTTACCATTTTTGCCAATTTTAAAAAAGAGAATGCTAATATGCAAAGCAATAGCACCTCTATGACGCTCCCTGTCAGCCGATGAGCTCGTTTTTCTCTATTTTTGAGAAAAGCAGCGCTAAGGGCACTGGCCCACAAGCACTCTCTTCCACACTTCCTCTGTTTTGTTGACACGTTGCATTAAATTTTGAAAGAAAATAGAGATTAACCGGTAACCTGAAAATAACGGTTACCTATTTATCTTTAATTTTTTTTTCTTCACTTTGTACCTCTTCTATTTTTCTTTGATCAAATGATGATGGTGATTCCGCCCAAAAAGAACAATATTTTATTTATTTTATAAATATCAAAGTATTAGTTTAATAAAAAATTAATATCATATAATAGTATTACACATTAAATTTTAAATTATTTATCTAACTCAAAAATATTATATGGTGGTTTGTCTCTTTTTTTATTAGAATAAATCTATTCCTAGTAATAAACTTAAAAGATAAATTTAAATATTTTACTTAATAAGATATCACGTAACGATATTTATGTTTATTAATGTACTAACAAGTTAGTATGTATGTACTTTACTTACAATATAATTTAAAAAATTAGTTTATTACAATTTATAAATTATTTTAATTGTAAATGAAAGCCACATATACTTATAATTAAAAATATCATTTAGACTTAGTTTGAAAGTGCTACATTGTAATTATAATTGTAAATTTTTTTAGTTTTTTAATATCTTAAACATATATAAAATATATTTTATACATAAAAATAGTATTTATTCAACTTAGATGTTAAAATTTAAGAGGAAAATCACTTTAAAATTACATTATTTTTATAAATTCTCATTAATAAAAAGATTAAAATACTTTATTTTTAAAATATGTATTACATAATTAAGTTGTGTTTATTTTTTTTGTGATGTTTTATTAAAACATATAAATTTAAAATAATTTTACCCTAATTTTTTAAGAAATAACATATATAAATATTAATTAATATATATAATATTTACTATCATTAATATTTTATATATTTTTAAAATAATATAAAGATATAAAAATTAAAAAAATAAAAAACTAAAAAATGTTTTCCAATAAAACATTATATGGTATCTTATTACTAACATGAATTTATTAAATTAGTATTTATTAATTTAAAAATTTTATTTTAAAATTAAAATTAAATATTCAAATCTTTATTTTACCAAATAAATGACTCTTTAACGTACTATAATAATAAAATATATATATATATAGTATCCCACTTGATGGAATAATTATATATTATTTCGTTGGTGAGTTTTCAAATAAAAAATACTTATAATAAAAACAAAAATGCTCATTGGAAGTCGGTTGCCCGTTTGAGAGTTAAATTTTATTGCTACGTGTATGCAGGAGAAAGCAAGTGTTGAGGAGAGTGCTTATGGGCGAGTGCCCTTAGCACTGCTCTTTTGGGGAATGTTTTCGTCGTAAGGTTAGGTAGTCACCGCTTCTTTTCTCCTTTATTTACTAAATTGCCATAGTATGGGCCACATATTCCTTTGGCCATGTGGGGACCAGTAAATGGAACAGGAATAGCATTTTGTATTTTGTACCCGTTTCCGTAATCCCAATGATGTCGTTTTTTGTTTCTCTAGAAAATCTGAACAAACCAACATGGAGTTACCCTTTTAGCCTTGTTCCTTTAGTGTAAGATCAGATGAGATTGGGTGGTAGATTTGAGAATTGAGATGAATGATCTACTAAAATCTATGCCATCGCCATCGCCATCACCATCACCGTCACCGTTCCGGTTTTCCATGGGAGTTGATTGATCGTTGGATCAGCCTTTTTCTGATACGTTAAAATCACTATCACCCTGGCAGTGTGGCGTGAAGTTTTTGTTTAACTTTTATTTTATTAAATTTAAAATTTAAAATTTTTATTTTATATTGCGAAATTTTAAACTGTCAAATTTAAAATTTTAAAGATTTAAGATATTAAATTAATAGAATTTATTAATTTTTTTTAATTAAAATAAAAAAAATATTCACATAATTAATTCAAAAAAATTAAAAATGTAACAATTTAATTTTGAAAATTTTAAAATTAAAACAATTAGTAAAATGAAAAGAATTAATAGATGATTTTATCATATATATTAAAATAATATCAGATATTTATAATCAAATGGATATATTAGCTCAATTTAAAAAAACCTAATTGAAATTAAAGAATATTTTTTGACAGAGTTAAGATAAAAAAATTTAAAAAACTATAAGAATATAACAAGCAATTTTCTTTAATTTCAGTAAAATTTTTTCTTTAAATTGAGTTACTCAATCAATTTGATTATAAATATTTAATCTTATTTTTGAATATGTGATAAAATTATATATTAATTATTTTTAATTTACTAATTTTTTTAATTTTTAAACTTTTAAAACTAAATTATTGCATTTTTAATATTTAAAAACTGATCTTATAAATATTTTATTCTAATCTTTAACAGAAAATTAATAGATTTTGTTAGTATACAAGCTAAAATCTTTAAATTTTTAAATTCAAAGCCTAAAAACCTTATAATGTAAAGTAAGGGGTTAAAAACATCAAATTTTTTAGAGTTAAATACATACTTTAACCCAATATAGCAAGTATATTAACTACTTCAAGTGATATAATGATGAAAAAAATATATCAAATTTAATAAAATTATAATTTATTAAGTATTAAAAATAATTAATTTAAATTTATTTCAATAATTAAAAATAAAGAAATTTTAACTAAAAATGATAATAGAAAATAACAATTAAAATTAAAATAAATCAAGATGCGAGGTGGTGAGGCATTTAATTTCATAATAAGTAATCAATATAAATTTTAAATTATTATGCTTTCAATACTAATTTATTAAGCATTATTACCTATGATAGCATGTTTCCCTAAATTAACTAATTAGTTTTCTTAAGTCAAATTAATCACTCACTTGTTTATTAAATTATTTATATTTTTATATAATTTAAAACAAATTTGTGAATATTAAGTAATATGAGAGCTCTTAACTCTTTTCTTTTTCTCCACTACTACAAATGACATCAATTACCTCCCAATCCTTTAATCTAATATACAGTTTATATTGTTATTAATTTAATTTATGCAATTCTCTCAAATATATGCATAAATCACATAATCACCTTTCAAGTTTTCCAAGCATTAAATTCAACAATAAAAACTGATTATGTGAATAATTATAATTAAAAGTATAAAAATCACAAAATTATATTAAATTGATCAGAGTACATTGTAACCTAAATTGACTAAAGGGATTTTCTAACATGTGCTTTAAGAGCACAAGTTAAGCTTTATTGATTGTAGTATCTGTAATTAATTTTACACAAATTTTCATGCAAAATTCAAATAAAATATAATATAATATATAAAAAATAATATAAGATAA